TTCTAAGTGCCCAGGAAACAACCCCAAGGGCACTCTGTGTTCTGGCCCACACAACAATCCTTACAAGATTAGAAAGAATTATAAAAATCCAAAGTCTATAGTAGCTAAGAAAGAAAATAGAGCAGAAATCAGTAACAGAAAAATACCTGGAAATTTCTTAATATTTAGAACTAACCTATGTGTCAAAGAGTAGACCTCAAGGAAAACTTCAAAATATTTTGAATGAAAATAATGGAAGGCCAGGTAAATAGCTTGGTGGTTTAAGTGCGGGACCGGGGGGGGGGGGGGGTGGAAAATAATTGAATTCATGAGATATAATTAAAACAGTGCTTATAGGAAAATCTGTAGCATTAAATTTGTGTTTTAGACCAGAAAGATCTAAAATCTACTTGAGCTTCTATCTTCAGAAACTAGGAAATAAGAACCAATTAGCATACAAAATGAAGGAAATAAAAGTAGATACTGATAACATCAAAACCAAGAAAGAATAGAGAAAAATCAACAAAACCATATGTCCGTTTGTCCTTGCTTTTTAAGATTTGAAAAGAAAAATGAGTAACTTTTGAAAGATCAGTCCAGTTGGTGACCTTCAACCTGGCTAATGAGACAGGGTGCAGGACGGGTATTTGGCACTGGGTGGGCTCTGTAGACAAAGGTGCAAGACGTGGGCCAACCAGCTCTTGGGGCCTCAAGCTGGGAGCAGGATGGTCTCCAGTTGCAGCTGGGGAAGCCAAATGTGGAGGTTTGGAAAAGAGACCTCAGGTTTGGAAGGACAGCACCAATCCATTGCCAGGACAGCTAGCTCCCCCACTTCCTTATGCAGAAATTGCCTAGGAAGAAGCAGGAGGGCAGTTAGCATGGGTACCAAAGGCCCAGGAGAGTTTCCTGACTCTACCCGAACCCAGCTGGCCAGTGACAGGGTCTAAGGGACGGGCACTCTGGGGCAGCAGTGTAAGGAGTGGGCACAGGCCATGACAGGGCGACAAGGGCTCTGCAGGGCACAGAAGGGCCCTGACCCCCCGCTGGCAGAGCTGTGCAGCCTTATGACAGCCATACCTCCCAGAGCTGTCAGCCTCGAACACAGCGCTCCTCACTATTGGAGGGATCCACAGAAACATTTATTGCGCCAGGAACACAAGATGTTTGCATTTCAGATACGCCAGAGCCTAGGGAGGGGCTTCAGGACTGTGACTCACGTCTGGAGTGGAACAGGAGGAGCCAGCTTGGATCTGCCTCCTGGGAACACTGCAAGCAGGACACCTGGCTCCTCACCCAAGGTCACAGAAGGCCACACCCTGAAAGCCACATTGACCTGCAGCCCCGTCTCAGAGCTGGGTGAAACATACTTCCAGGCCACTGCACACCCCATCACTGCTGCGTTTTTCCTTGTCTGCAAGGCTCACTTACAGTCTGATGGTCTCTGAAAGCAGATCCTGAGATCTCGCAAGAGCTTAGACTGTTTAGCATTCCATCAGCCGGAACTTCCAAAGACGCAGGCTGAGTGCCACCGCTGTCCCTTGAGCGGTGTTGTCAGACAGGGACCCTCACACCAGACAGAGCGGTCTTCATGTCCCCACCAAGACATTGCTGGGCAGCACCTGCTTGTGAGGGCCGGGGTAGCCTGACGTCAGCTCACCCGAAGCCTCTCAGTGTTTGACGCAGTAGGCATTTATAGGTCTCGGGAGCAGGCTGCATCCTGCCACAGCATGTGCTGTTCTCAGTACCTAGCAGCAGTCATTTCCACTGATTAAAAAAAAGTCTAGTGTGGATCCTCTTTGTAGATATAATTTGGTGGTTATGGTTATTGTCATTGTTTTGGTACCAAGAATCAAACTTACAACCTCACACTTACCAGGCAGGCATTGTGCTGCTGAGCTATATCCCTGGCCCCGTAATTGATAGTTTTAATGAACACCTGGTAACTGGACTTCCTATGGGACATAGGGTGACACTTCTATACCTGTACATGATATGTGATGACCAGGTCAGGGTCACTGGCAGACCCTTTACCCCAAGTGTCATTGCCAATACTCCCTTTTTTTGTTTTCCAGACAGCTGAAGAGAGAGCTCTGAATGTCCATGAGGTTTTATCAACACTGTGCCAGGCCCCCTGCCTCATAGGGAGCCCCGGTAACAGGGTGATAGTGAAATTGTCTCTGGCCAGTCAAAGCCAGCTTCTAGGCCTGGGACATCCTTGCCTGCAGTCTGGATGGAAGTCACAGCAGCCCTGTCTCCCGAGGACGCGGTGCAATGCTCGCCCTGTCTGCATCGACGTAGGTTTGGTTTTGATGCTCTGAGAGGAGCGGAGCTGCTGGCTGGCAAGGGTGTCTCATTAGTTCTGTGCCTGGGCTTCTTTACACACGTCAGTGCGTTACCGTTTTCTCTGTAAATTGCTATTCAGACCCCACCTGCAGGGTTCCGCTAGGGGCCTGTGGACTCCTCTGTACTCCAGCTGCTCTTCCCCTGGGCACCAACAGTCTCCGGCACAGGGAGCTCGAGGGACCTCATTAGCCTTGGCCTCAGACCCCTGTGAATGGAGCCCCCTCCCATCAGATGCCAAACACTGATCGTGTGTTCTCTCTGCCTCTGGTGCAGCACAGAAATGCCACTGAGGCAGCCAGACTTGCTCACTTGGGCACTTGGAGTCTTTCCCTTTGCAGAATGATTCTTTCATTCCTCCTGTCCATGTCCGAATTCCCACCTGGGGGGTATGCATGGAAACTGCTAGTGTGGTGTGGGGGGCTCTGTGCTGCGTGCCTGCTCCCTCCCTGGTTGCCATGTCTCTTAATCAATACTTAAACTTCCAACCTGGAAACACAGTGTAGGTGGCTGTCAGTGGGTAGCCAAAGTAGGACTGCAAATCAGTGCCCTAGTTGGCAAACTGAATGTGGTTGCAGCCCCAGGACCGGCTCAAGTATGACCTACGCGCAGGGCAGTCTCAACCAGACGTCTGTGTGCTCCTCCCCATGGCCCCTGGCAGGCTCTGAGGCTTCCCAAGTACACACAGCTGTTCAAGGCCAGAGGGGTCTCAGGCATCCTCAGGGATAAGCAGGACAGGAAGAAGGAAGTGGGTGCCGGGCAAATGGGACTGTCCCTGAGTCATCACTACACAGTCCCAGGAGTCATTGCCAAGGGCAGGAAGGTGTCCCACCACCCTGGAGGCCTCCACCCTACTGGGCTCGCTACCTGTCCTCTTGCAGCCCAAGGTTAGAGGAGGACAGCAGGTTGGCAGCAGGGCCTCGCTCCTGCCAAGGGCATTCTCTGTGCCAACACTGGGGCAGCCACGCTGAACTATGTTTTGGAACAGAGGGGCTGGGAGGCTTCAGGACGAAGTGAAACCAAGCTACTATTGGCTTAATTAACCAATTACCATGGTTCCTAGAGGCTTCTCCCTTCCCAGCCCCTTGTTGGCTGCTTCATCCAAATGTCTGTGGACACCCACACTCAGGTCCAAGACAAACCAGGGCAGGGTGAGGCAGAGGCCAGCCTAGGAGACACGGAAATCAGAGGCAAAGGAGGAGGCTGCAGGTAGGTGGGGCGCTGCCAGCACATTAGAGGCCCCAGACCTCACCAGGCCAAACCACATGCCAGACCTGCTCGTGATCACCCAGACCTCGCCCACTGCATTCACCAACGTGGTGACCCCCGTGTTGGCCATAAGACAGAGATGTCACAGGTGCCCTCTGAGAGTGAGCAGACATTCCATGGGGACACTGTTGCACCCACAGCCTCCACAGTACCTCTTAGAATTCTCATAAACACATCCACTGGCTCTCGCAGGCCACATCTGCCACTCCCAGATGTGGGAGCCACAGGTGTGACATGTCCACTCTTGATGGTAGAGTGAGGTGGGACAGGAAGGATGGGCGGGAGCTGGACCTGTGAAGTTGACCACAAAACCCCAATCAAAGAGTAAATGAAATCTGAAAGGCACAGTAGATACAGTGAGAGGGAAAGAAAGTGTTCAAAGGGGAGGAACAACAGGGACAAGGGAAAGGAGAAAAGAAAGAAAGAATGGAGGTAGCAGGAAATATGCATGCACATACTCAGGATAGCTTGGATAATTGTACTGCTGATTTCTGCTGGTCTATTTTTCTCTTTCCTTTTTAATTTTTTATAACTTTTTAATGACCATTTTGCACGCTTACATCTGATAATCTGAATAACTAATTTGAAGACAACAGTATGAAATATAACAACCATTGTTGAATTTGTGTTATTTTGTTTAGTGAAATTCTGTGTCATTTCATTTATGTATTTGGTACAGGGTCTCGCTCTGCAGCTTGGACTTATAGTGACCCTCCTGTTTTCAGCCTCCCCAGTGCTGGGATTACAGGCGTGTGCCGCCATGCTCAGACTCTGTCACTGGCTCAGCGCACCCGAGGGTGGGGCTGGCTTGGCATGCAAGACCAGGGATCGAACCCTGGTCCCTATACTTGCCAAATGTATCATTTCTAATGGTTTTTGTTTTTTGGTTTTTTGGTTTGTTTTGTTTTGTTTTTACTATTGTTTATTCTCTTTTTTAAAAAATTAAAAGAGAAATCCTAATCAGATCAGTGTCCACCTTAAAGCCCTGAGATGCCCTCTTATTAACCAAAGTCCTCCTGGGGGGGCCTAGTTAATTTACCCCAGGAGGAGTTTCACCAACAGACACTATGGCAGGGCAGGGACGTTTGGGAGATGACAGTGTCGTGGCCACCTGGCGGCCAGCAACAGGCACAACGAGAACCACATATCTGGAGCTGACGAACATCCCGTGCTCCCGTCCAGAAGGAAGAGCCCCATTTCCTTCCTCACCTCTCTCTGCTGTAGAAACTGGTAGGATCCATGTGTGCCTGCTGTAGAGAGAGCTGAATGTCACCCAGATGATAGTCTTGCCCTAACCCTGTGCCACCTCCCTGAGTCCAAACCTCTGCAGGCACATCCCTTCCAGGTCAGTCAGGGCTGGAGTGGGCTCGCTCATCCCCTCACTGTCCTTCCTTCCTCTCCTCCATCTGCAGACGAACAAGGCTGTGGCCCAGGGCGACTTCCACCAGGCCAGCACCAGCTCCCGGCGGGCCCTCTTCCTGGCTGTGCTGTCCATCACCATCGGCACGGGCATCTACGTGGGTGTGGCCGTTGCCCTCATTGCCTACCTCTCCAAGAACAACCACCTGTGAGCTTCCCATGGGCACGAGGAAGGACTGGCGTGTCTGGGGTGGCTCGGGCAGCAGCGGACTGCGCCTGAGGCTGGAGTTTCCACCATGACTCCCTGTTTCCTCCTTTAACTCCATTGTCATAGCACTGAGTGGGCTCCGCACACATGGGCTCAAAGCTGCTGGCCGTGGGGCTGTCTGGGACGGGCCCGGGTAGTGGGTGACAATACGCTGTCTGCGCAGCCGCCATGCCTCCAAGGCCACTGCATTAGCAATATACAAACAGTGAGAAAAAAAAAGTATTTATTTTTATGGAACATGGTCAAGGTGCACTAGGCTGAGGGCATGGGGCATCCACTTCTCTCCACGTGCCCAACACCCAGGAGACTTTCCTCCCAGAAGAAAAGAAAATGGAACTGGGGACAAGGGGCACCCAGCATGACCATCTGCAGAAGGGCCCAGCCCTGAGAACAGAAAGCTAGAAGACATGGCACGGGTCCCAGGCCCTCACACCCTCCATGCCAGCCTGAACATGTCACTCTATAGCCCCCGCCGCAGCAGTGCTCAGCCTTGGGCCATCAGCGAGGCAGGCAAGGTGGGTGCCCCAAGCTCCTTGAAGTGGCCCGACATTGGTGCCAGGAACTGGAGGCAGAGGAGCCAGGAGGACCCCGGCACCCTTGACGTGACTGCCCTCAAGGGGCTCGCCTGATCCTAAGCAGTGACAACGACAACGCCGACCCCAGACACGAGGCGGGCCTTACTCTGTCGACTCGACGAATCGCTATTTTCTTGTCATTTTTTAAGTGCAACTCTGGCTTCACAGTGCTTCAGTTACCAGACGAATGCTGAGAAATAAGTCACCACAGACATCTGAATGCCATCTCCCAGCTGTTTTATGGTGTTCGGTATTTAACAAAAGTTATCTTTTAGCTCGTTTGTGTGCGACATTTCTTTCTGGTGTACAGTGTCAGCGAGGTGCCCTTCTGCTGGGTCCCAGGAGGGAATTCCCACAGCCCTAGCTGCTTCCACGCCGCCCTGAGCCGTGTCAGTGAGCACCGTCCTGGTCCCCTCGTAATAGAGAAGCTCTGGCTCCCGGTAGGGTCCACTGGAGGCATCTGAAACTTCCTTCTGCCTGGGCCCTTGCACCCCAGCCCAGAGGTCCTGGCAGTGGGTTGAAGGCAGCTTGGGGAATCCAGGTGCAGCAAAGGTGAGGACCCCCCATCCTGGCCCAGGACCACCAGTCAGAGGTCACCTTACCCTTTCGCACTTGATATGGTAGATGCTTGATATGGCCAGCTCCCAGCTCCAGCTAAGCACTCTAAGTCCTTCCAGTAAAGGCCACCTAGAAGCCCAGGCATCCCAGGCATCCAAGAAAACACCCAACGCCCACAGCTTGGTGGCTGAGAGGGTTATTTTGTTTCAAGTTTGTAGAAACCTCAGTTCTTCTGTGGTCAGCTGGCTCCATGTCATGATGGCAGAGGGGCCAGGCAGAGGGAAGCTGGGCATGCAGGGTGGCCAGCAGCAGAAAGCAGGAGGAGGAATGAGGGGAAGAGATGCACCTTTCCAGGCTGTGCCCAGGGACTGCCCCTTCCAGCCAGACTCCACTCCCACAGTGGCCCCCACTCTCTAGACACCTTGTAAAGCTCCACCTTCAAGCACATGCTGCTTTGGGGACAGCCTCCACCCAAACCACAATGCCAGGAAAGCCAGGGGTGTGGGCCACAGAGAGAGGCTTGGGCCCAAACCAGGCTGGAGTTGGGTCCCGCTGTGTCTCTTTCAAACTGTGCTGTCATGGACATAGGCCCACACATGTCCGGCCTCACTCTGGGACAAGGCTCCCTGTGCAGGCTGCTGCGGATGCTCAGCTCCAGACTTTCAGGCCTGGAGGGCAGGTGTGCTAGATGAAGCATTCTCAGGAGGCTGTGCACAGCTGGCTTGGGTCGTTCCATCTTTCTTCTCAACCTCACAGGTCTCAGCCATCACGGGCTATTGTACAAAATGAGCCTCTTTGAGTTGTAATCAACTCTGTCCTGAGTAGATCCATCGCAGCTCAAGTCCAGAGCCTACGGCTGCAGCTCTGTGGCTTTGGCGCTGAGTAGAAAGCGCCGCAGTGCACCCTTCTGGGGGAGGAGGGCCTCACCCAGGAGCTGTGGACCCTCTGAGGCTCCAGCTGCCAGGCGGCTCCCTGTGTCCCCACCCTGTGAATCATCCTGAGCAACCTCTGCTGACCCACGCGTTACCTCAGAACCCAGGTGCCTGGAGGACCTGTGCTGTCTCCACTCTCAGCAGCCAGAGGGGTGAAAGGCTGGCTGTGACATCCCTACCTGTGGCCTCCACAAAGCTTATTCTCAGGCTTCAGACTTCAGCTGCCCAAGGGTGGGCTCTGCCACCCTGTGCTGCTGGCCTTCCTGCTCAGCGATGGTGGAGGCTAAACCCACAGGCTCATGGGCCCACACACAATTGCCACCCAGCCCACAAACACACAGTTGAAGGCATGAACTTGTCAGCCCCCACCAAGCACTGCAGGGGTTGGCTCTCACATAGGGCAGGGCAGCTGAGTCACTGCAGAGGTCAGGACTGAAGAGCTAGAGACCACACACCCCAGGGAGAGGGATGGGGCACATCAGCTGTGGCCAGAACCCGGGAGTACTCTGGATTGACAAAGCCTCCCAAGTCCACAGGAGGAGCAGTGGGTGCAGGAGCAGGCTGGGGCAGGGAGGCAGCACATGCTATCTCTGGGGTGTCAGCAGAGGGCTTCTGGGATGGGCTGAGCACTGCAGATTGTGGGTGGCATCCTTCCAGTTGGTGCTGCTGCCAGGGTCACTCTTACACCTGGCTGCTTTAGCTTGTATCTGGAAACCCCTGGGACTGACAGGTTTCTCAAAGAAGCCTCCAGAAAACAGGGACAGGGAGGTGCAGGCTCCCTGATCTCAGGCTCTTTCTCAGCCTGCTTCTCACGTGGGCTGTCACGGGTCCATGGCCACTGTCACTGCCACGCTTGCTGGAGGCTGAGGCAGAGAGAGTGCTGCACAGTGGGGTGATGCCAGACTCGCAGGACAGCACAGGCACAAAAGCGTAGGCTGGGCTTGGCACCGGAAGAGGCGTGGGACAGGCTAGACCACAGTCCACTCTCATCCAGGGGCATGCTCTCAGGGCTGGAAAGACAACCATGAAACAAGCCCAATCTCTCCTCCAAGGACACTGCAGCCTTGCCCTCACCCCGTCTCTCCATAGGCTCGGTTCTGAAGCTGGCTTTATTCACAGACACAGTCCTTTGGCCTACGGAGCCTATAGTTTCACTGCCCCTGGGGCCAGCCTGTCAGCCCTGCCTTTCCCACTTATCCAACTCCTGGAAGAAATAGAGATCCCCAAAGCCACCCAGTCCTGAGTGGTGGTCCCACTTCCTTAGGTGACCCTGGTGGTCTTACCACTCACCAAAAGTGTCACCCTCTGTTGTGGACATGATCAGGCAAGAACTCACTTCCAATGGCCATCAGGCTCATCATGAAAGGAGCAAGGTGGTGCCCACAGCATGTGCTCAGCACCAGCCCTTTAGTCCCAAGTTGTAGACATCATTCTCAGATTAGCCACAGGTAACTATAACAACGACCCTTGCAGGGTGAATGGTGGGTGAGGTGGCTGCCAACTGCCCAACTCTCTATGGATGTCATGGTGCCATCCCCAGGTCAATCCACACCCAGGCATGGTTGGAGAGGTGAGGAGTCTGTCCCGGGTCACATGGCTAATAAAACCAGAGCCGGGCCTCCACTCTTCATGAATACAAAGCCAGAGCTTACTGGCTGCAGACTTAACATGGGCTTCACGGTGCAACTCAGTTTGCTTGCTGCATGTCCATCAGCACACCCGGTGCTGTGGGGGCCCCATCACATGGCGCCCCTCTGAAATCCCACTACCACCTGCTGAGGAAGGTCGGGGTTCAGTGTTCCCACTTCTCAATAGAGAAACTGAGGCTTCTCAGCCAGTATTTTTGCTGGTGGCAGAGCAGGTCCACAGTGGACCAGAGTCAGTGTTCCTGTCCATGCAGCTCCAGTGGGAGACCTCCCGGCCCCACTAGCACTGCTGCCCTGCAGTAGGCAGGTGGAAAGACCTGGGCTCTCAGGCCTGGAGAGTGCAAGGTTGTCAGAGGACAAAGGTGCACCTGAGGAACAAGCTATCTTGAGACACACAAGCAAGGGACAGGGTGCACCTCAGCATCTTCCTGGGGCCCCCTGGGTCTTCTGGGGTATCTATGACAGTGGCACAGACCTTGGCTGAGGCAGCAGAAGCTCATTTCCCTACCTGGAGCCAGAGCAGAGTCGAAGTAGCCACAGCAAGGCTGGAGCAGGTGTGGGTGCCATGCTCTGCAGGGTGCGATCTCTTGGTCAGACCACACTTACTTGTTGGGTGAAGACAGGCATGGCAGGCTTGGCAAATTCACTCAGACTTCGAGGCACAGGGCACCTCTTGTCTTTCCCTTGTGCTTGCAGCTGGTCCCTTTCAGCAACCCATGGTGGATAGGTGCAGGTCATGTTCAGCACAGATGTTTGTGGAGCTGAGAACTGCGCAACACCACAGCTGGCCACACCACGGTTTTCCACCTGTGGTTCCCTGCAAGATTGAACTTGCTGGTGTCACTCCTCACAGAGGGGCACAGAGCTCATTGAGACTGGGCTCAGCCACCCAGAAACATGGCGGAATTGGGATCATGAAGCTGGGAAATCTCCCCACACTTCTCATTTACTTGTCAAAGAAGAAAGCAAACATGGTTTTCAGTTTAAATTTAGAAGAGCAAATTTAACACAAGGAAAATGACCCAAGACAGGCTCTCTCTCTCAGGGAGTGGAAGCCCCAGGGAGATGGCGATGCCAGTGAGCCCCTGAGCAAGGAGACCCCCAGCGCTGGGAGCAACCCGAGGCCCAGTGAGGCCTAAGTCCTGGCCATCCCTCGGCCCAGCCACCTGCACCACACCTGGGCTCTCAGGCACCAGCTCCTCGGCCTCTGTGCAGAGCCTCCCAGACCCAGGCACCCCACAGAGATCTCGTGCGCCTGCCCAGGTTTGATTCTGCTGGGACTATGCACCCTAGACAGAGGCTGGAGTGAGTCAGGGCCAGGCCTTGGGCCAGGATGGCGGGGCCCGTGAGAGCCTCTGTACACACAGGTCCCCAGGTCCTCCCTGGGCCTAAGCAAAGCATCTGGGAGCCTTAAAGCCCCAAAGGGATCCTGATAAACACCTAGGCACAGGACCTGCCCCAAGGGGACTGCCAAGGCCAGGGCCCTGGGACATCAGCCAGGTTCTCTGTGCCCACACCCTGAGACCAGCATCTGTGCTGCCCACATGCCGCAACTGGCTCACACTCGCCTGCAACTACTGAGTCTGCGGTCTCAGTGAAAGCCGAGGAATTATCGCTCTGTAAATCTAGAAAAATGCAATATAGCATTGTAGAAGGCCATTTTTTCTCTGGTTCACACACAGCTTTCTTTAAGGATGGGGTTCTAAATCTATGGTGTCTGGCAGTGTCTGCAGCCCTGCTGCTATCCAGAGGAGGCTGCTGCACTGCGCTGTCTACACCGTCACGGCTTCCTGCGTCCTGGCTGCTCCATCAGGGCCACCTGAGATCCCTCCTGGGCAGCACCCGGGCCCTGAAAGACTTCACTTACCCCAGCCTCTGCTTCAGGTCTCCCTGCCTCCTCCTCACCACAGCCGACTTCTCCCTCTATCTCCTCTCGTCTTCCACAAAAGCTCTCTGCACTGAGCTGCCTCAGTCTCCCCCACTTGGCAGAGCCTGGAGAGGGTGTGTCCCAGGACAACGCTGCACTGGGGACAGCAGTTTCTGCACAGATGCCAGCACCCTGCTGTCCCCTGGAGCCAAGAACAGGAAAACACACAGCAA